AGAGCAATTTAGATCATACTTTGTTTCTAAAACATAGAAAAGGTAAAATCACAGCTTTAATTATCTATGTTGATGATATGGTGATGACAGGGGATGATCAAGAAGAAATGGAGAATCTACAACGACACTTAGCCTCGAAGTTTGAGATGAAACAACTTGGTGACTTAAAATACTTCCTTGGTATTGAAGTAGCCCGATAAAAGAATGGTATTTTCTTATCCCAAAGGAAATACATCCTTGATATATTAACAAAAACATGGATGCTTGGATGTAAACCCGCGAGTACTCCTATTGAACAAAACCATAACTTGTTTCGATGCTCGGACGCAGCCCCTACGAATCAAGCAAGGTACCAGAGACTTGTGGGAAAATTGATCTACTTTTCCCATACCAGACTCGATATTGCATATGCAATGGGTGTAACTAGTCAGTTCATGCATGATCCCCGTAAACCCCACATGGACGCTGTGGAACGTATATTGCGATACCTAAAGTCTGCTCCGGGGATAGGATTACTTTTCACCAAATATGACAGATTGAAAGTATAAGGCTACACTGATGCAGATTGGGCTGGTTTAGCAGATGACCGAAGGTCTACTTCTGGATACTTTACCTTTGTTGACGGAAATCTAGTGACTTGGAAAAGTAAGAAGCAGCCAGTGGTAGCAAGGTCGAGTGCAGAAGCCGAATATAGAGGCATGGCTCTTGGAGTATGTAAACTGTTATGGTTGAGGAATATCCTACGAGATTTAGGTATCAAGCCCCAAGAAACGATGAAATTATATTGTGATAATACTTCAGCCATAGCAATTGCTCACAATCCAATTCAACATGATCGAACGAAACATGTGGAAGTTGACAGGCATTTCATTAAGGAGAAACTTGATGCTGGAATCATTACGTTTCCATTCGTAAAATCTGAAGATCAATTAGCCGATGTCTTAACCAAGGCCTTAGCCAGCAATGCCTTAGCCAGCAATGCCTTTGATGACTCGTTAAGCAAGTTAGGCATGTGTAATATACATGCTCCAACTTGAGGGGAGTATTGGAAATTAAGTCAAAGATATGCCATGATTCTTGGAAGATATTGTTATCAGTTGCCCCATAATTAGGAGATATACCATAACTAGGAGATTAGATCCATATCCAATATACCATGTGTAGATTACACAGTGTATATATTGTACATCAACGATTGAATAAAATTATGAGAGAATCATTCTCAAATGTGTGTTCTTTGTCAGATTGCTTGTCTTTTTTTATTTGAGACAAACTACCATTTTATTTAGCAATGAAAATCAAAGATGCTCCCGGAGCAGAAATGGTATAGCAAGAAAGGACAAGTTTTTAAATTGAATTATTATAAAATTTATTTTTAAAATACAAGTTATATAAAATTTAATTTTTAAATTCGAGATGGTTTTAAGTTTTGTTTTCAAAACACAAAACAATATTTGAAACTTAAAATCATGTTTGAGATTCTATTTTTCAAACAATAAAGTGTTATAGCCACCCATTTTTATGCCACACCAACATTTGCTGCATGATTCTCAACATCCTTTTTTTATTATTATAAAATTTTCGAACTTGCTCTTCCATTACAGTCACGACAGCTTAAATAGCATGTGATTGGGTTCTTTTGAACTTAAAAACACTTGGGTGTTTGAGAAGTTGGCTTATTGGCTAAAAAAGTTATATATATATATATATATATATTTTGATTTTTTTTTGTTTTTAGTATTTTTTTTTTTCAAAATTATGTTATAATTTTTTACATTTATGTAGACGAATCCAAAAAGTTGGAAGAACACCTTCTTCACAAGCTAAATTGAGTTGAGCTCCAATTCTTCTCTTATATCATAAGATCCAATCCAAGTAAAGTTAACATCATCTTTTACTTGGCCTTTCTGATTTGTTGCAACCTTAGGACAAACATGATGAGGTGTTCACATATTATTTGTCAGGACAGAAACTTCAAAAATGTACCAAAGCCCAAAGTTTTTTGAAATTTTTTAAAAAGAGTTCACTAATGATAAAAATAAGCCTACAAAAAATACCAAATAAACAAATCCCAAACCCCAAATGAATTGCAAAAGCCACCAAGTTTTCAATCTAGAATGATACTTTGAAATAGAGTGAATCATAATTATGTATCGTCAATTTAAGTGATTGAATTTCTCATTCAATTCATATAATATAATTATTGGTGGTACCGCATATACCAATTAGTATATTAACTACTGTATCAATTAGTATTATAACATTATTATTGACCACCCATTATATAAATTATAAATATTTAAAACCTTTAAAATTATATCACATTATCTGTTAGTACACTAATTAGTATACTAATTGATGCATATAGACATTTATCCTAATCAATAACGGTAAAATATTAATCTAATAGACAAAATTATTTTTACAATTTAAATAATATAATTAAACACTCATCTTCTTAATCACCTCTATATTAAGTGATGTTTTGAAAAGTTGATAAAAAGTTAACTTTTTAACTTTTTAATGAATTTTTTGACAAAAAATTATGTTATTTTGAATAAAAAAATTGACTTTTTACTTGTGTTCCCAAAAGAACCTAAATACCATATACCCTATAAACGAATCTATTTTTTCTTCACCCCTCACCTCATTGTCCTCCTTTCCATGCTCCCCTTAAGTTTTTTAAATAATTGAATGATTTTTCACCTTCCAGAGATGCTGACCCGGACAATAATTTTCAATGAGATTACCTGAGTTGGAATAAAAAATTCTAAAAATTAAATAAATGAAATTAATAATTTTGATATGAAATGACAAAAAATAATAATAACTTAGAAAATAAAAATGAAATTCATCCAAATATAAAATGATGGTAAGTATTAATAATTACAAAAGGACAAGTTCAGATTTTGAATTAAAGTGCTTTGTTTGGATTCTTAGGGCTCACCACGAATCCCGTTTCGATAATTCGAATCGTTTATTTTGTCGAACATTTCGTGTATTTTATACACACAAAAAAATTAAATCGATCTGATAACTGTAACTTATTCGATCATCGAGTTTTTAATCAAAAAATATATGGTTTATTTTTAAAAATACAAAATTTTTTGATGAAAAAGGGGATAAATTAAATAAGTTACCATTAATATATTGAGTTAATTTTTTGTATGAATAAATATATAAAATATTCAATAAAATAAATGATTGGAATCTTTGGCTCTTTTGGAAACCCACCAAAAAAGCTAATTTTTTGGTTTTTTAACTTTTTTAGTCAAAAAAGTTAGTTTTTTTTTTTTACCTAAAACAACCTAGCTTTTTGTTAAAACAGCAAGGTTAGGTATCATGAAAAACCTTTTACGAAAATAATCATGAAAGTTTTGTGACCCTTGGATTACACTTAGAATAAACAGCAATGCTAGGTATCATGAAAATTTTGTCATGAAAATAATCATGAAAGTTTTGTGACCCTTGGATTACACTTAGAATAAAGCACCACACACTAATCAAGGAAATCTAAGGATCATAAATTTTTCATGATTATTTTCATGACAAAATTTTCATGATCCCTAACTTTTCCTTAGAATAAAACACCACACACAAATTTAGATAATCCAAGGATCATGAATCTTTCATGATAATTTTCATGAAAATTTTTTCATGATCCCAAACTTTTCTCTTGTTAAAAAAGCCATCAAAAAAATCAAAAAGTCAAAAAATTAACTTTTTACCAACTTTCCAAAACACCACTGTACGGGGAGCAAATATTCCGGCAAGCCCGTACTCCTTTCTTCCAAGCTCCGTTTATGTCCGATCACCTGCGAGCAAATAACGGTGAGCTACCCGGCGATGTGTGGCCGGAAAAACCCTCCGACAATCAAGTCAGCATACATCTTAGGATAGAGAGAGAGAGAGAGAGAGAGGAGTGTTTGAGTGTAAGAATTCCTTACAAGAGTGTTCGTCCCCGCATATGGGGGGCACAGACATGCTTATATACCCTCTGCGCCCCATATCCACTCCGAGTCATCTCCTGACACGTGGCTCTGCTATCCCATCTGTCAGCATAAACCTTGCTGAACATCACATAATCTCAACTGCCTGCCTTCTCAGTTGGAGCTCGGCAGCCGAGCTTCTCTATCCACGGCCGTGCTGTGCTTTATACCCAAGCACTTTACTGGCTAAGCCCAACGAGGACCGGGCTAGGCGGCATCTCGGCAAAGCCTAGCCTGGGGCACATCCTGTGGTCGGCTTTCCTGCCGATCAAACGATTACTTCGGCTGACCACGTCTTTCCGGGCGCCGGTCGTTCAGCTTGACTGGCTCCACCACTGCCTGATCAGGCAATGCTCGGTCTAACCGAGCACCACCTTGCCGAGCAGCTTCTATACGGTCTGGGACGGCACATACTTGGCCCAGCTTCTGCCCGGCCCAAGTTCCGGCAGCCCATCCCCGGGCGGATCGTCGGTCATCTCGGCCCCATGCAACATTGGGCTCTCAATCTGCTCGGCTGTTACCTCGGCCCAATTCCAGATCATAAATCTCTCTCTCAACCACTAAGGCCTCGTTTTGCAAGTGACTTTTCTAACCAAAAAGCTAAAAATTTATTAAAAAAAATCAAAAAGCCAACAATCCATACAAAAAAGTCAAAGATTCTATTTTCTCTCTACTTTTTGTACATCTTTTCGTAAAAAGTTAAAAAATCATTCTAAACATAATAATTTTTTTAACTCATATTTTAACTAAATAATAAAGAAATTACTAAATTAGTCTGTTCCCAAAGGAGACCTAAATCTCACGGACGAAATAACCCCTCCTCTCCAAAATCTGAACAGCAGGGGCAATCAGGTAAACTCGGACAATTTGTCTGTTATACCACCCTAGTTCCACCTCTACAATTATTGTGTGTCCTTATGTGTTTCAAAAAAAAAAAAAAAATTATTGCGTATCCTTTTGTTTTTTTCAAGACAGTTCCAATTCATCCCCTAAAAATCCGTGCTTAATATTCCTTTACCTCACAACAACCCAAACCCCTCTCGTACCAACTTCTCTCTCTCCCACACACATCATCATACACAAAGAGTATCCATGGCAACTGAGCCAGAAATTTCCCAAGCTTTCCATCACAGCAGCGATGACGACGAAGAAGAAGATGAAGTAGTAGAAGATGGAGAGGAAGAGAATTCCCAAGAGTGCAAAACCATGTCCGGCAGGTGCGGTCCTCGGCTCGGAACAAGATGGTCTCTTGGTAGAGTTTTGGACCCGAGAGCCACCTGGATCCGAGAATGGAATCGGGTGTTCCTCCTCGTATGCGCCACGGGGCTCTTCGTGGACCCTCTCTTCTTCTACGCCCTCTCAATAAGCGACACGTGCATGTGCCTCTTTGTTGACGGCTGGTTTGCCGTCACTGTCACCGTTCTCCGGTGCATGACGGACGCCTTGCACGTGTGGAACATGTGGCTGCAGCTCAAGATGACCAAGCGGTCCTACGAGGTGGGCAGTGGTGGTGGAGAAGGAAGCCGAGTACACAATGGGAGCGCTCGGACGGTGGCTCTTAGATATTTGAAGGCAAAAAAGGGTTTCATTTTTGATCTCTTTGTCATCCTCCCTATTCCGCAGGTCAGAATTAAGCACTGCTACTAACACAGAAATTAAACACAGAATGATGTGAGCGTTTGTGATTCATTCTGTATTTAATTTCTGTATTCCTAATATTTTTGGTGAGAATTTTAATAGCAGTCATTAATGATTGCAATTATACATCAAGTTCATGATCAACGATATCATCATCATTATCAGTTCAAAATTTTCATATCGGTGATACCATATCTATTAGATAGTACCAATTGATATATCACTGTTGAAAGTTCAAAGTTTCGATACATTTCCGCAGATAGAGTGAAGTTGCTTTGAGGTTTGTACACTAGTGTTTGAGGAGATGACAAATGCAGTCAGCACTGCAGTTATTGTATGCATATGCATACGTTGCACTGTGAGCATGTGATGAGACTGTGTCTTTTCTTCAACCTTAGAAGGGGTATAATGGGTAAATTTAATCTATTATTTTTGTTTTCTGGATTGAATTGGTTTGGAAGGAGCTCCAAAGAAAAGAGTGTATCCTCTCTTGTGAAAGAAAGAAAGAAAAAATTGATGGACGTCTTTGGTTTGTATACTGAAAATAGATAACCTATACATTGTAGTTTTCACAAAGTAGTGACACTAGCACTCTTGGTTCTGTGGAATGCGAGTTGTAATAGTAAGAGAGTTTGTACTTTCTTTCTCACGTCGATAATCTTTTCCCAATGGCTGTCTGGTGCAATTAAATGATTACAAGAAAGAATAATGGTCTATTTGGCATTATATTTCTTTTTTGGTTACTATTTTTATTTTTCAAATTACACCCCAAAAAAATTTCTTGACTAATTATTTGGGCAAAATTTTGAAAACAACACAATTTAAAAACATTTACTTAATAAATTTTACACACAGGTTAGGAGGTTCTTGCTACCGATTGTGGTATAAATTCTTTTTCATTTTAAGATAGTAGACTGGTTCATATTTTTGCCTATGTTTCAAAAAAAAAAAAAAAAACAGCAACAATATCAACCCCTGTCTAACTTTCATTTTTATTAATTTTTTTTTATCATGCAAAATATCTAGAACAATAATCAAAACCTCGGGATATGTTTCAAAAGATAATTTCTTTGTCCGAACATTAAAAACCACTTCTTTTTGTTTTTGGGTAGGGTTATATGAAATTTTATTCTTGTCTCCACATATGTCATGTGATAACGTGATTTACTTGATAATGAATAATGCTAAAGCAATATGAACACAATGCAGGTAGTACTATGGGTAGCTATTCCGGCCTTGTTGGAAAGGGGATCAACAACTGTTGTGATGACGATATTCTTAATCATGTTTCTCTTCCAATATCTCCCCAAAATTTACCACTCGGTTTGCCTCTTGCGTCGCATGCAAAACTTGTCTGGTTACATATTCGGCACTGTTTGGTGGGGGATCGCCCTCAACATGATTGCATATTTTGTCGCATCGCATGTAAGCTTACTTATATCACTAAGGATCTTCTAGAGTTTTTTTTTCCTAAAATTTTCTAAAGTGGTGTGTTGTATGGGTGAGATTTAATGCTAAAAAATTGATTTGACTTGTCATTAAATCTCAACCATACAACACACCACTCTAGGAAACTTTAGGAAGAAAAAAATTATATCTGTCTCTCTTTTTTTTCCGCTTCTTTAAAGATTATGCATTATTTTGATTTAACTAGACTTCCGGGTTTAAAGGTCTTGTTTAGGAAGTTGGTTTTTTTAGTTAGTTATTTGACTTTTTAATTATTTTAATTTGTCTAAAATAGTTATGTTTGGGAAATTAGTTGTCTTTTTGTAGTTGATTTGATAGTTATAAGACAAAAAATGAAATGATTATGAATTAGATGTGACATTTTTTGGGCTCATTTAAATTTTTTTTTTAGTAAGTTATTTTAATCCAACTCTCTTTCCAAACCTCCAAAAATAAAATATAAACGTGTGCTCATGTTTTGGTAAATACAAAATCCTAATAATCACATACTTTTTTATACAAGAGAGAGAATATATATATATCAAAAATCCCTTTCGAGGTTGTCTTGTTATTTAAAGTTGAAAGTTAAAACTTTGTTTCAAATCAATATTAACATGCTTGTGATCTTTTTCACTTACATCGTCCACAAAAGGAATAATACATTGATAAGAAGTGGAGTACAAATTTGCCTAGGGGTGAAAACGACAACATCTCTTTTAACTGTGATTAACGTGTTGAAAATGGGGTGAAATCCCTCCCCATTCCCTGTCCCATTGTCCAAAACTCTACCAACTTTATCTCTTCAATTGAAAAATTGCTACATTTTGCTCATTAATTTGTTTCAATCTCAACTTTCACCTTCTGTTAACATTTTATTTACTATGAAATAGGGCAGAAAGATGACATGTGAGCCATGTATATATATATTTAGTTAAGGTGGTAAATTGTAATTTTCTCATATAAATAATACTTTAGAATTAACTTTATAATTTAGTCACAGATGATCCGGAGTCTTCACAAGGAAAATTGTTTTAAGAGAGAGTGAGGAAGTTGTTTTTGAATCGATGAGTATTTTAAAAATTTTTATCGTTTGTTTTAAAAAATAAAATGAAAAAATAAAAAACACAGCCAAACAGACTATTTGACGATAAACTTTAAACCTTGTGTACAATGTGCAGGCAGTGGGAGCATGTTGGTACTTGTTAGGAATCCAGAGGGCAGCAAAGTGTTTGAGAGAGCAATGTAGAGAAACAAAGGGGTGTGGACTGAGAATATTGGCTTGTGAAGAGCCCATTTATTATGGAACAACAAGCTTGGTGAGAGATAGAGCAAGACTGGTTTGGGGGGATAACAAGCAAGCCAGAATTGCATGCCTAGACAATGATGATAATTTTGATTTTGGAGCTTATAAATGGACTGTTCAACTTGTTGCCAATGAAAGCCGTTTGGAGAAGATTCTCTTTCCTATCTTTTGGGGCCTCATGACTCTAAGGTATATATATATATATATTTTTCTTTGGGTAATGCTATATATTGTTTTTTGGATCTTGCTAACACGTGAATAATGTAATATACTTTTTTTTAACTTTTAAAATACTTTTCGTTGGTTTCAAAAAAGAAAATTGAAACATTTTCATCGATTTTCTTTTTCTTGAGATGTCATTTTCTTTGATTTACAAAACTTTGAAACACTTCTTTTTACACGAAATTCAATAATAATAATAATCAATGCCAAGCCTACTAGGCTTCTCACTCCAATAATTTGATTCCCCCCCCCTCCTAGATTCTAAGAGGGTAGCTTATTAATGAAAAAATTAAATTAATTTAATAATTATAATTACATAATTTAAATTAATTTAATTTTTAGTGAATGATTTAGATATAAAGATTTACGAAATAAACTAAATAGATCATTAAAGTAGAACTTATAGTGAACCCAAACTAGATATGTCGAAGCTGCACCCCATGTAGTAGATGGGAGACAATTCGGTTCCTTATGCATTTGCCTATTCTAACTTTGTTTGAAAATGCTTTTACTATAAACTATTTTAGGGGAATATCGTATTGGTGGAAGTATAAAAAAACAATTATAAATTAATAATATTAAGTGGATGCCAGATATGTCTCAATTGCATTCCACTAATTTTTAATTAATTTTATCTATTCTCATTTATCTGATATTTATTTTTAAATTTTTAGGGATTTTTTTTTAATAAAATTATTGAAAATTTATATTTTGTATGATCTATAGAATTGTGTTTAGATTATAAATGTAGGCAAAGAAAAAAAAAAGAAGATGAGTTAAATATAAATAAAAATTATCACTATTTTTAAAAAAAATTTATAATACAACCTAACGTAAATCTGATAGAAATTGATATATGAAACAGTACTTTTGGCAACTTGGAGAGCACAACGGATTGGTTAGAAGTTGTCTTCATTATTATAGTTCTCACGACTGGGCTCCTTTTGGTCACCATGTTGATTGGAAACATCAAGGTATAATCTTCACTTTTTAATTCTCTCTTTTGAATAATCATAGTTTCCATCACCTTTGAAAACTGTTTTTTTCACAAACACACTTTTGTCATTCATTGAAATTGCCTGATGTATCCTGTTAAAAAGTAAATTATACATTTAACTTATGTAATTTGATTTAAATTTTATTTTGGTTTTTATTATTTTAAATTGAATAATTTAATTTCTATATTTTAAGTCTAATTTTAATTCAGTGCCTTCCTTTTAAGTTAAAAATAAAAATTAATAACTATACAGTGAATTTAAAAATAAAGAAAGGAGTCAAACTACATATTTTAAAAGAGTAATTTATCCAATTTAAAATGTGACCGACCTCATTTAAAATTGAAGATTATACTGTTTTAACCAACCACAGAATATATTTTACTTATGCTCACAAAAGTAGAGAATATTGTACCTAAAAATGACTTCTCTGAAGATAATTCAAAGGCCATGGGAAGTCAAGAGCAATGATATAGTTGGGACATTATCATAACTCTATCAGCCACTGTTGTACAGCTATTTGGGCTCATTTCAAGAAATTTTTCAATAATTCAAATTGTTCATATTTTGCAGTACATTGAGTATAATATAGGTGTAAAAAATGAAGTTAATTGGGCATCGTTAACCATTTTATCAAATTGTATTTGTATCTAGAAAAATAAATGATAATTGTAATTTAAAGTATAAAAATGAATATAAATGTGAGTAGATAAAAGGGTTAATGATATCTGATTAACTTAATTTTTGACAGATATATTATAATTGATATATACTAAAATATGAACGATTTAGATCATAAAAACGAATCTCAAAATGAGTTCATATGACTGCACAATTTCGAGTTCATATGACTGCACAGTAGTGACTGTTGTGTCCCGCACAGCAGCCACTCCATTTTTGTAAATAATGATTGGAATCAAGACTAATTGGAAAATTCTATGATGTCAATCCCAAATAATTGTGCGTGATATGAAACATAAAATGAATGTACATTCCAAAACGGTGCACATGATTCACACCTTATTACGTGGATATCATTTTTTACCATTCAACATGTCTTTTACATTATAAGTGATTGAGATCCCATTGACTTGGTGGAGATATAATTATATTGTGTGCAACTTTGAACACATTAAAGACTTGTCCTTGGAATATTTACTCTTGTCTATTACTGTTTCAAAAGTTTGTGTTGACAAATTTTTATTTTTATTTTTAGTATCCTTATGGAAGTTAAGCCACTATGTAAATGGACCACTATTTCAGCTACTGTCATATTTTTAGTACAAAATAAAAAACAAAAAAAGTCCTCTTGTACAGCGTGTTCAGATAATAATGGCACCGGACAATAATAGTCCAAGAGAGGTTCATGTTTTGGTCCTCTTCTTGTACACTGCATCATCACATAATAATTAATGTCTTTGATTTGGATTTTTTGAATTAAAGTTTTTGAAAATTAAGCTTTTTGATTTTCGTATTTTTTTGTTTTTAGTGAATATTTTTAAATTTTAAACATTTTTTTTGACTTTTTAGATGCACCTTACTTAAATGTATTTAAAAAGTAAAAAATTTGTGAAAAAATATTTTAAAAAATTAATAAATACATAAAAGTACAAAAAATATACTAAATTCTCGTATTTTTTTTTTTATATTTTGGGTATTTAGTGAATTTTTAAAAGGTTTTCTTCACAATTTTTTTACTTTTTAGATACATCTAAGTTAGGTATGTCTAAAAATTTTAAAAATTACTTAAAATATTAAAAAAAAATCAATAAAAACAAAAAAACACGAAAAATAAGAAAAGTAAATTTTTTAAAAAGTATTTTTTGAAAAGTGAAACCAAGCATAGTGAATGAACCTCGAGGCCCATATTTTTGTTTTGTATGGCATTTGGAGGCCCCTGTGTTTTGTGAATGAAAAAAATAATTCACAAATATTTTTTTTATTTAGAATAATGAGACTAATATATATATATATTTTTATAATTAGTCATAATAATAAATGTTTTAGCTTAAAATGAATGAATTAAAAAATGTTATATTAATAGGAACCAAAATAAGATGAATGAATTAAAAAATGTCTTATCAATAGGAACCAAAATTAAATTAGAGTCAAACTGTAGTGACAAAAAATCTAATTTATCCTCTCCTTTGTATAGAAATTATGTATGTGTAGCAATATTTTGTGAATACAAAAATCAATCATCGATTCAGATACAATCATTTCACATTGGTATAGAACACACATTATGTGAGAAGATTATGTCTGATTTTATGATTATTTCCTATATTCCTAGATTTTTTCATACATAAAATAAACCGTGTCAAACAACCCCTCAAATGTGAATATGGAAATACAATATACATTATACATATATACAGGTGTTTTTGCATGCAACAACATCAAAGAAACAGGCAATGCAATTGAAGATGAGGAATATAGAGTGGTGGATGAGGAGGAGACGCTTGCCTCCTCTTTTCAAGCAGAGAGTCCGTAATTACGAAAGGCAGCGTTGGGCTGCAATGCGCGGTGTGGATGAATGCGAGATGATCCGCAACCTCCCTGAAGGCCTGAGGAGGGACATCAAATACCATCTCTGCTTAGACTTGGTTAGACAGGTAACACAAAAAAAAAAAAAAAAAAAAAAAAAAAAAGAAAAAGATCAAACCCTATGAAACAAATTGCTTAAATTTTTTTGCACCATAGAATTATATTAAAATAGAGAATTTCTTTAGCTTAGTAAAATTCAGTATCTTACCGACACTAGATTGTGTGGCTGCCTCTCTCGGTGCCTCCATATCGACATCAAGTGGCTGTGAGTGTTGGGTATCCACATTGTCATGTAAATCCCCATTTGGAACAACAATTGCCTCGTGCAAAGGTTGAAGAGATAACTGCGCCAATCATTTTTGTGGCATTGGTAAGCCCTAAAAAACATAATACAAAAGCATAAACAATAAATACATAAAAATTGATAAGCAAAAAAATAAAACTGCTTGCATTTTGTTTCCTCAATGGTGCATCATGTGTAGAAGGGATGAGGAGAGCATTGATAATTTATTTTTGCATTATTTGGTGCCTTTGTTTTCACAACATACCATATTTCATATTCAAGCATGGATTAAGTTGCTTCTTTCTCTTGTCCTCAAATGCTGCACAATGACTTCAAGGGATTTGGATCCAATACTAAAGCTCATGCTCTATGGAACTGTGTTATCTATGCATTTTTTGTGATTTGGACAGAACAAAATGCAAGGACATTTGATGATCTAGGAAGGTTGTGGTTTAAAGTTTCTTATTTCTCGTCTTTCTAGGTGTCAGTGTCCCCTCTTTTCAAGAAGATTCCTTTGTTTTTTATTTGTAGAGATTAGACAGCAGTATGTAAGGTGATTTTGGCTCTCCTTTTACTTTTTCTTTTGTTGGTGAACCCCTAGTCCTCCCTGTTGTACTCCCGCTTTTGTTATGAATAAAGTTTTTTTTGTTATTGCTGATCAAACAAACGGGCTTACAGACCAGCCTAGGACTTGTTCAGCCTTTATCTCACAACCAGTGTTCCCTCGTGTAGCTTTTCACCCATTTGATGTTTTTCAGTCAACCATTAATTGGCATGAAAGGGATAGCATAGCAATACAATCATATGTTAACAACTTGAAGAATCAACTGGTATGACAAAATAAACATGAAATTTCATTATTAAAACAAAAAATATGCATTTTGAGCAAAGCAATAGGGTATAACCTAGCTATTGAAGATACATATTAACCAAAGAAACTAGTATAGCTCTCTCTGGAATTCAAACTGCCATATAAACTTGTCCATTAAACATAAAAGATCAGAGATAAAATCATGTTCTGTAATTCTATAATCATACTCAGGTCATATGAATACTAATTGTAATGTACTACTTACTTGTGAACGAATAAGCTCCCTATAACTAGCAAGCTCACAAAATGCAGCAATGAACTTGGACATGACTAGACCCGGGGCAAAGAAAGCAAAGTAAATTGTTTGTCTTTCGAGTGGTTGAAAGCTTTGCACAACTTACAGACATAAGAAGCTTCACTCAATTTACAGAGAATTTGGAAGCGAGTTCGTTGGGCAAAAGAAACAGGCACTCGGCAACTCATGTTGGAAATTCTTAATGGTTCATTGATTCAGA